ACTTGGAGCAGAGAATTTCCCTGAACCCAGTCCAGGCTGCAGAGGGGGGAGAAGCGGGTCTCAGGTGCCTGTGCAGAGCTCCAACAACCAGAGAGATGGAGGTGCTGGAGCAAAAGGTGGGTGAAAAAAAACCCAAAGATACCTAAAGAGCAGCTGGAATCAGGAGAGCTTGTCTAAGGGTGGGTCAGATGAATGACAATGTGTTTTGACAAGAAACATTCAGAGCAGAAGACACATGCTTTAGATGACTCCTTTGTAAATCACCAAAGAAGCCCGTGAGTTCAGAGGAAGGTGAGGCAGGGATATGCCTGGAAAACTACTGTCTTGTGAGAGGTCATCAGCTCCTGAAACAAATAATAAAACTTGTGCTGGTTTTCCTTGGAGGGCACAGGATCCAGAGATGGGCTGGGAGAGCCCAGTGCCCAAGAGCTGAGATCAGGAAGGGCAATGTGCTGCCCTGGGGCCAGGGAGCTCCATGTCCAAGGGGAAAGGCTGGGAACAGGGCTCCCAAACCAATGGGCCAACCCCCAGGGAGGCTCCCTGGGAGGCTCCCTGGGCTCTGTGCACCCACCCTGCTCCCACCCAGAACAAGAGATCATTCCTGCTCCCCTGTCATGAGTAATGCCACAGAAAGCATTACTTTAATAGCAAAAGGAAGGATCTTTAACAGAGGGTTAGACACAAACTGCCCAAGAATGGAAGGGAAATATATTTACCTCTTATAGCAGAACAACTCAGAGAGAGCTCACAGCAATTCTCTGAGATGAAAACACTACTCAGGACTGTGAAAAGGACAGGCTTCTGATGAAAAATCTTGTTCTCCTTTCTAACAAAAATTCAAAGTGGTATCAAAATTTCCAGTGAAATCAAGAAGCTGGGGCTTGCTGTGGTCTACAGGGATTTGGAGGTTCTTTTCTGCTTGAAGTCAATGAGATGTCTGCCAGAGTTCAGTGGGAATAAGACTGGGGGATCTGGCAATGCCTTTGGGTATTCCTGACTGCATGTAAGGAGCTTGGACTTTCGGTGCAGGTTTGTTTTCTAAATGTAAAAATAGTATCACTCCGTTGGATAAATACAATTTGCAACTCACTTTGTAGATGTGCTAGAGGTTTTTCAGCCTTTACAATCTGTCATATAAATCCACATTCAAGTGTCAATGTGTGAAGGGGCTGCTTTAGAGGTCCTCTGGGTGAGAACAGGAATGAAATTTCCAGAGCAATGCTACAAAGATGAATAATCTCTCTACTTAGCCAGTTATTATAGAATTAAGATGCTGATGGTAAGAAGCACTAGAATTGAACAGGTTTTTGGTTTGTTTTTGCTTTTTTTTACCTGTAATTCAGAACAACAAGAATTGGGAGTTTAAGTAGGAGAATTTGCTGAAAACAAGCTACTGAAATGAGCCTCAGATCCAGGTAAGACAACATCGACCTCCTTGTACCTTCAAAGCTTGTCAACTTCAACAACAATTTTGGGTATGCACAGGAAGTGGCCACAACTAGGTACAGGATGTGGGAATAAAATTATTTGTGAGGTAATTTCTGAGACCACCATCATTATGCTGTTGTTGATCACAATTGCTTTCCATGTTTCTCATTTCCCTTTCACCCCCTGAAAGGCCAGCTTTTTTTTTATTGTTTAATTTTAAAAAGCCAGCTGGAAAGATGTGCAGGAGTAGTGGGTGAGTGTGAGTGGTTCAGAAACCACCTCTGATAGTGGCTGTTTAACCCTCTTCTCCTTTGTCACACCAGTTGTTCCCTGCTCAAGATTTCTCCTCTGAAGAGAATTTATGCAGACCATAAAAATTTACGAGAAGAAGGACATCTACCCCCTTTAATGCCTAATCTGGCACCCTTTACTTATGCAAATTTAATCAATGGACAAATGCTCTGATCACAGCAGCTGCACTAATACAAACAACATCAAAGACTTTGTCGAAGTTGCTCTGAAACAACTCTGGGATCTCTGAAGTGCAAGATTTGGCCTCTGGCTTCACATTAACAGCCATTCACTAACTTGAGTTAGATTTCCCGAATATGGTCCTTTTCCTCCCAAATCAGAGCCAAGCACACACATAAGTTGGCACAACCAGGCAGAGCAGAGTGGGCAGAGCAGAGCTCACAGTAAGAAATGCATCCTGCTGCCTGCTGTCAGGTGTGATTTGTGTCACACCAGAGGGGTGACTGCAGAGCAGGTACAGGCAGGAACTGGTCATACCTACACCTGCTCCTGCTGGGCCTGACCTGGCCAGCTGCTGGGAGCTCCTCCCTCTCACTCAAGTCAACATGAACTGAGTTTGCTCAGGACTGAATAGGATTGGACCTCCTCAAAATACTGAGAAAGTTTAAACACGACTTGGTGATTTATTTTTTCCTGTTTTCCATCAGTGTGTGGTGTTTCTGTGTATGCACACCCGGGCTGCATTTATACACATGCCCACAATCCACGAGTCCTTAAAAATCCAAGTACACTATATGCTAAAAGGCCTACAAGCTAAAAGCTCTTTGGGATCTGGGAGCACAGAGGAAGCAACAGAAATTGTAAAACAAATAAAAAGGAGGTTTATTCCCACAGTTTTCAATTTCAGTGAGCACAAACTATTTCATGTGACTGCAGCTAAGATTTAGCAAAGCATTTCAGCATATGCTTATATCTTTTACTGAAAAATAATCCGCGAATTTTTGTGATTTCTTGGATTTGAAGCTTTTAAAATCACGCCCAAACCAAGAGTTTAACACGCTGTCCAAAATAACCCAGAAAGCTCTGCATGTGGGTCAGTGTACCTCTCTCTGTTACCTCTGAGCAGAGGCCAGCAGTGCCCTGACACTATTTAGATATTTTGCTCAGAAGAGCATCTCCCTCCTCCTGCCCCATGAGAGACCTGGGATCCTGTCCCAGCCACACCACGCAAAGCCAGTCTGTGCCACATGGAAGATACACAACAGGGCAGCATCAGGAGCTCCAACCATCCCCATGGGAATCACTGCAAGTACTTTGCCTCAACCAGGAATGAGAGCAGGCCAGACTCAATGTGGGACTTACAATGAAGTCTACTACACAGCACTGCAGAAAAAACAATAATACTAAAAAAAAATAATAAAAAAAAAATAAGATAATAAATTAAGATACTGCCTTCACCCAGTTTCATAATGTATCGAGCAGAATGTCCTACTTGGGATGCTGGTGAATGGTTATCTTTTGCTATATAAATAATGTCATCTACAGGTTTCATCCTGGAAGCTCTCACTTCAGTGAGAAATGAAGTTTGAGCAGCTGATAAAGCATTCAAGCCTTATGAGACAACATAAAAGACAGTACACAGCAAAACATCAGGCAGCATGTAAGCTCTGGTCAGTTCTGTACTTCCAAAACCTGAAGAAACACGCTTTTGTTATTTATCAAGCAGAAAAAAAAATTATTTTAGTTCAGTACTGTATTCTCTTGAAATAAAATCTGTGAATTTATGTATATTCTCCCAAAGCTTCAATAACTGAAGCTTTTATTAAGTTTGATGTGGGGCATATTTTAAAAATAGCAGCGATATTTTAAAATGTGGAAACGGATGTGTCACTCTATTACAACTGGTGAATCTTCACTGTATTTTTTAATATTGTGAAGCATTTGTATGTTTCTCCATTATAAATCTCTCTTCACTAAACAGATTTCTTCTCTATGATTAAAGCAGTACCACAAAGACATTAGTAAACAGACACTGCCCAAAAAAATCATATTGTTTTGGTCTGATCATAAAATATACGTATTTTAATAATTGGGCTTTTTTCCATAGAGAATTTCAGCATCTCCCTTTCCTTGGAATGAAATCACAGCCATATGCTTTATGATATTAGAGGCATTTCAAGGTGTCTCCATAAATGTCATTTATTGCTTGGGAACCTGCCAAATCCACAAAACCCCTTAGTTCTTTCAAAAGAAAAATCTCCAGATGAAACTAGCTCTTTACACTGGTTGTCATACTAAAAAGAAGAAAAAAAAATCTCTTTCTTATGGAACACTGGCCATGCAGGTAGCAAAACCTCTGGCAAGAAAACCTCAGCTTTGGTTTGCTCTGGAGCCAACAGCACACTGGGCACCCTGGCCTGGCACAGCCACACCTGCCCTGCACTCACACCCACAGCCCCTGCAGCTCAGCCCCTGCACCGTGAGCAGCCTCAGTGACAAAAACTGAATTGGTTTAGTGACCATAACTGTAAATCAGAATCAGGCACCTCTCAACATCCTGCTCCCATGAATGTGCTTTAACCCCTCACAGGGCAGTGCCTTCCACGCTGCCCAGGATCCCCCATCCTTCATGGTGCCCAGTACCCTGCAGGGCTGGCAGCCAGGCAAACAATAAAGAGACTCCATGTCATACACAAATACAATCTCATGCCACATCTATTCCTAATTTGGCATATCTGGAGTCTATCCTGAGATAATACTGGCCAGACCTCCATAAATCTTGCCAGACATGTCACCAACCTGTCCAGCACAAGGCACTACATTAAAACACACAGGAATTCAATCCAGGCTGTAGCTGCAGCAGCCAGAGTGGGTCAGCCAGGAACTGACTGCTGAGGCACACAGCTACCACTGAGGTCAGAATTCTGGCTGGCCAACAGAACCATCCATTAGTCACACAGTAGTAGAACCATTCTTTCTCCTTGAGGAAGAAAAAAGCAAATTTTTCCCCTAAACCTGAAAGAAACAAGTTTCCTGGTACAGTTGGAAATAATCTAGGGCAGCACACCAACAGGTGCTTCAAACGTATCAGCAGAGCGCAGAAGATGTTGAGAAAGAAAATGAATAGACTCTCTAAATAATATATAAATTGTACAGGCCTTTTTTCTGCAGAACCCCAGTGAAGTTACTGTATAAATCAGAAACTGAATTATTCATAAGTGGTGAATATATAATAAATCGTGCTTTGCACTGAAATATTCCTCACAGGTACGTGCAGGGAACAGAAGCAGGCAGCGAGCCTGGCAATGCCAAGGTCTTACCTGGAGTCTGGGTACTTTGTCAGGGTAGCAAGGCTGCTGGTGTACATGTGTCCTCCTACATCGATGTGCACGGGAGCGTTGGACTTGGTGAGTTGAGCTGGGAGAGGAATTCCTTGAGCAGCCAGAGGAGAAACCGGGGACCGTGTTAGAGACAGACGGGACATGCTTCTTCCCTCCTGCAATGGGGAGGCAAAAAGAACAGTTTCTCTTAAATGTAGCAGTGTGTTACCTTTCTTTCCAGTGTGATCACAGATCTAATCAGATCATTTTTGCATCTGCCTGATCACATATTCAGCTAACAAATTATTGCCACCACTGTAATTAAGTGTATTTGCATCATTTTCTTCTAAGTACCAGAGGGGAAGAGAAAGATGCTTATTAGCAATAAGAAATCAAGAAAAAAAAAAAATTTCAAGGTGTCAGCCTCAAGGGGCATAAAACAAACTGCAAAATTCTAATTAAAGGTCGTGGGCTTATGTGTTAGATGTGAAATATCCCCTGACAAACGAATAACCAATTTGTGAATTGGGATTCAGGGGGTTTTTGCAAGTTTGTCTCAGTAACAAGACACCTCTAAATTAGTGACTTCCTCAGTACCTAAGGCATTTAGTTTATACATGTAGTAAATTTCACATCAAACTAAGATCAATTTTCTGGTTTATTTTCAATAATTGTGAAATAAATGGATAATTTTCAGTTAAGCCTTAATATTAGAACTAAGCAACTAATAAGCTTTCAAACTGAAAGCAATTAATACCTGGAAGCAGTAAAAACAGAAAGATAAATAAACTGACCCATGCCTTCAGAACAAGAAAGTACTGAATAATCTAGCACATGAAATTATAAATTCCACAATCCACCTAATGTTTCCTGCCCTAAAAATATTGGAAAATTAGTGAAATTACTGAACTGAATCCAAAAATTTTCAGCAAAATCAAAGCTAAAAATATTGAAATGTCTTAAAAATGAACAGGACAACCAAGCAAAAGAAAATTGCTCAATTCTCTTCTTCAGAAAGCACAGTTTATTCTGCACGAAATGTGTGTCTCAAAGCTGATTTCAGTTCAATCGGTGCAGACGGCACACAGGTCAAAAGGAAAAAAACCCTTTTAGAAAAGTTTAAGAAAATGTACATCCATTCTCCCCCTTATGGGGAAAGTAACATATGCAAAACATTATAGTTGAAGACATTTCTGAATATAATCTAATTTTCCTGGTATTTTGTAATTCAAGCATGCTACCAAGCACCCAGGCTCTTCCTTGCATCTGACAAGCACTTTACATGCAGCATTGCAAAGTGAATTTCTATTTCTCCCACATTACTTTAACAACATTTCTTAGAAATCTAAAGCTGGTCTTGCCTTAATCTCAGCAGTATTTTGCACAAGATGCCTGATTACGCCACTTGATGAACATAAATTAGCAACATTCTTTGCAAAATAATTTCTAAGCTATAGAAAAAGGGATTGAAAAATCTTAACACATCTGAACAGCTTCACAAAGTCATCACAACATCTCCATTTACTGTATTTCATCTTGGTTAACTCCTAAGAATTTCTTGCATCTAGAGCATAGAAATACATCACCCCATTATGAATCCACATCCTTGTCTCCTCAGAGGCTGGATGGACATCTGCACGGAACACGAAGCAAATGCCAACTCTGTCCTAGGACTTCTGTGTCAGCCGATGCGAAATTGGGCATTAACATTTTCACTACAGCACCACCTTCAAGGAAAGTGACTGAATCCTCTCATGACTCAAGATGTTGCTTTCTTGTTTCCCACAAGAGTTTCTTGTGGCCAACCTTCAGTAAATATGTCATATAGCATAAATAAAACAACTAACTTTTAAAAACAACTTGGTATGTAAGTACCTACAGTATTTTAGCAAGGTGTTTACTAACCTGTCTGCCAGCACAGACAAAGGTTGCTGGATTTTTCTTACCAAAGAGCACTGTAAACTCATGTTCAGTCTCTACTCCTTCACTTAAATGAAAGGGTCAGAAGATCCAGGCTGAATGTCAACCCTGTCTTTGTTCAGACCCCAACCATTATCACTAATGATAAAGGTACAGACCTTGCACGGTACAGGGCTGCCTTAGAAATAAATCTCACGCAGTTTCACAAAACAAGAGTCTAATTAGGGCTCATCTGCACCCCTTGTTACAATTTCCAAATGAAATCAAAGGACTTCCTGTCCTCTGTACATGCGTCTTACATTTAACCATTTGTCTCGAAATATAGAAATCAATTTTAAAATATGCACAGATAGCTAAAGATCAAGTGATATGAATCTATTTGTGCATATTTAAACACTGCTGCTATCTTAGGATTTTGTTTAATGTTAGTATACCAGTAAATTCCTTGATCTGTAAAGACTGAGATTCTCAGTGAGGCCATACTCACACAGTAGATATTTAATTTATACTATTCACTGGAGGGACCTTTTGAACAATCCTCTGCTTTTGGCATTTCTCAGCTAGAGCATGTGTTGAAAAAACACTTAATTATAGAAAATCACTGGAAAGCTAAAATAGTTCTCAAACTTTTATGGCTTTTCATACTTATTGAAGGTGCCACTGGCTTTTGAGGGGAGAGGAGGAGATGGGGAATTAAAACACTGGCTGGAGAGGATTCATATTAAAAAATGAATCCTAGATTTTTATTAAAATTGTGGAATTCAATCATTTTTGTATGAGCAAACTATCAAGAGGCACAACTGCTAAGCACTCCATAAAGGGCACTACTGCTCCAAAAAAAATACCCCCTGCTTCTTAAGGTACCGTAACCCTCTTTCTAATGACGCCTTCCTCCTCTTAATGTAGCACATAGCAAAAATTCATCACACTGAGTAATGTACTTATTATATGCACAAAGCAAAATCCTAAATGTATTTATCCAGTGAAAGTCTTTATGCACATATTTTCTAATATGGATGAGAAAATTAAAACCTTAAGGGTAAATATCGCAGAAACACTAAAAAACTTCATTTATTAAACCATGTAAAATAATCCTTGCTCTTTAGTTGCATACAACAGGATACAGCATCCCAACTAGTGGCACAGGCAATAACCCTGCTCTAATAAGTAACACAGGAACCTGCTGAAGGCAAAATCAATAGAGCCTGATTCCCAAATTATGTGAATATTTAGTTTTTCAAACATTACACACCAAGATCTTTCAGAGCCAGCTTATCTTTTTCTGCCTTCCTAAGCTAACTGCTTGTAAAAACTATTTGCCCATGCAAAGTGAAATAATCACAATGCCATGCTCATTTACACACAAAATGATTTTGTGTCCCATTGTGCTCACAGTTGTTCAGCTCTCTAGGGGTGATTAAACTAGCTATGCTGCTACAGCTTGAGATGATTTCACTGAATCGTTTCTCCATGAAGTTGCTTCTTTGCTAAGCTGTTATTTTAACCATAAAAGGTAAACAGAAGGCAGTTGTAAGAGCTCCATTCAGCTCCGTGCCCAGGGCTATAACCCTAGGGCAGAGAATGCTGAAAGACTGCAGAATTTTCCAGGGTGTTGCCTTTCTTGCTCTAAAGCCTTCAGGAATACTGTTCATTTAATACACACTCTAGATGATACATTTCAGATCCTACTAAAAGAAAGACTTCAAAAGTGTAAGAAGTTTTGGGCGGATGAAGCTTTCCCACCTCTGCACATAGCTTGGGGCCATGGTAACCAATACTGCTGTTGATGTTGGGAAAATACAGGAGAAATAAACTGCACGGAGTAGAGCAGACAGGGACAAGGGAGGTGAAAGGTTGCAGGAAAGAAACAGGCAGCAGTCTGGAAGGGGGAACGAAAAAAAAAAAAAGGAAAATAATAAAAAAGGAGGCGGCTCTGAAGGAGGGACAAAGTTAAATCAAGGAGCAGGCACTTAAAAGACTACAGATGGGAAGCAAGACTAATTAAGGATGTAAAAGCGCTTTGTTTCTAAAGTTTATTGTTGCCAGGATAAAAATTAATTGAAACTAATGCTGTTATTCACTCGTGCAGTTTAATTCCTTCATGCACATTTAAGACGTGAAATGAGAACGGCAGGTTTAGGGACCTGCCATGGAGCTGCTCTCCCGGGGAGCCGGGCTGGGGGCGGCTCGGGCCGCAGGAGCCGGGCCCGGCTGCAGCCCCCAGGCTGCTGGAGCCTCGGGGAAGCTGCTCCTCCCCAGGGACCTTCATTTCTGTACCAGCAAACCCACTCGGGTTAAACCCACCCACTGCAGCCCCCCGCCCGCCCCATCCTCGGCAGTGCGGGCCGCAAGTTCCCGCGGCGCTGCCGTGGCTCCAGGGCAGTGTCTGTGCCCGGGCTGCGCTGCCCGAGGGGCACAGCCCCAGACTGGGCAATTACCTTTGTCTGCCTACACAGGGCCGGCCAGAGCCCGGCTCTGCCTCCGGAGCCGCTCCGAGACAACTTGCCCACGCCGTGCTCCCTGCCCAAAGACAAAGCGGGCCGGGGGGGCCTACAAACCTTGGCCTCGGTGGCTCCGAAATGAAAAGTCCATAAACATTTGCACACACCTCCGCGCTGCTTTACTGAACGCTGCACCGAGAGACAAGAAGAGATCGTGCCCAAAACTTTTTTTGGGGGGGTGGGGGGGGCAGATGGGGAATTCCCTCTGGAGCTCTGGTTGCCCCCCCCACAAAAAAAAAAGAAAAAAAAACAAA